CCTCTTCCTCTGGCGCTTGTACCAGAGCCACTAGAGCAGGGAGTGGGGTGGGCATGGGTCTGGAAGCACGCTCATCACGCCAGGAGGGAAGAATGGTGACATTGTCTGAAATCTCAGTCAGGAGTTCATCTTCTACCGTGTTTTTGAAAAATCTCTACTTTGGAAAATAACATTTTAAGTTTCCTGTAAACAGCAGACCCCTGATGTCAGTCACAAGGCTGGGAGAATGAAGGGGAGCAAAGATCTCTTAGAACTGTTTATGGAGCTGCTCTTTTCCAGAGGGCTCCTCCTTCCTAGCTGCTAAATGGACCCTGGGATTTCTGTTTCAAAACAAGACGTAAAAACCCCTCCCTCCCATCAAAACACTGCTCTGCATTCCCTTTTCAACCCGTGGTTTTAGCTGGCAGATTCCTTTAAAATGTTTGCAAAAATTCATGTGTTTGGAAAAGCAGCACTAAAATGAGGTCAGCTTTATTTGCACTCCCAGGGAAAATGTAGTTGGAGGAAAAGAAGTGGCGAGCGAGTGATGTACGTGAGCCTGCCTGAAGGATGCTGCCAAAATACCTCAGAGCCTTGCCTTTGTACCAGCCTGTGGGAGGCAGCTCGGGCTGAGTCACACACACAAGTGGCAAGGGCCCTCTTCCTCTGCCAGCCTCCAGAAAATTGCCTCTTTCCCAATTTGGGCTCAGCCACGGCTGGAAGGTGCTGCTGGTGAAAGGGGTGACATCACCTGCAGGCCCTTGGGTCTGACACTAACCCACTGCTCGTGGGGACAATTCTTACTGGGCTTCACATTTGACCAGAAGTCGGCTTGTTGCTTCAAACAGACATGCTTATGCACGTGTTAACATCTGAAATGGGGTTCCCAAACATACTTTTTGCAGCCATTTAGCTTGAAAAATTTTTATTGTCTCACAATGCCGTCGAGCTGTTTCCATTGGCCATTTATTTTGTACATCCCAAACCAGCTGAACCCACGCTGGCCATGTGCTCATTTATTGCTGTCACATCAGGCTGTGCTTTGGCATTTCCAGAGTTCCAGACTGCTTCACTGCCAGGGTGTGAGGAAAGAGTTAAGCTGAGAGAAGGCCCCAGGTACTAAAACTAACATCCATCCCAGCCCCCGGCCACAGCTTTGAAATTTCTAATCACAACTTGCAGTTAGACATCTCTGCTAGCAGTAGGCTTGGATCCTTTGAAATCACAGATGGCTGGCTGGAGCTCCGAGGAATTCAGTCTCCTCCTCTTCCTTCTGCTTCACCTTCCCCCCACTGCCCAGAAAAATCTGTTTGCAGGTCATCTGTGAGATTTTATTATTGCTTGCTAAAGCTGAAGCAGATTTGGCCGCTGGGCCCTGAAAATACAAGGTCTGCAGGAATTGGTGTGGTGCTTCACCTCTACCGGAATTACCCGCCTTGTTCAGAATACCCACCTGGACTGATGTGCAGAACAAAGACCCTGGGGTTTGGGCTGTCTCTAGCCCTGGGAATCTTGGTAATTGTTTGCAAAATGAGCTGTGTTAAAAAAGCAAGCAAACAAACAAACCCCCTCATAGCAAACAGAAAACAAGCCACAATCAAAACCAAAGAGGTTTTTGTTACTGCCCTGAATTATTTCAGTGGCCCTGTTTGTAATTCAGTTGTATGAGGACAGTTGAATTGCAACTGGAGGCAAGAAAATCAGGAGCTGTGTTAGGAGCTTGTCTTGCTAGTACATAGTATGTTCCTGGAGCAGCATCTTTTGTGTGCAGGAGGCATTTTTTATAGTCACTGCAAGTGATTACAAAGCCTGAAAGTAAAAAAAAAAAAAACTCTTCTATTTTGCATCCCACACGAATGCACCCCCAAACCATGAAGTATTATTTGGTCAGGGAGTCGTTTGCCCCAATTCCTGCAGAAACTGCTTTTGGAAACTGTAGCCTGAAGCATCTGGCAGCCTAAAATCTCTCCAGGGGAACTCAGAAGCATTTCTTTGAGTCAAGGTAGCTATAAACTTGGACCAAAGAGAGATCTTTATGAGATGAGAGATCTTTATTTTATGGACCAGCTCGGGGTGTTTACCATGGATTAGGAGGTGATTTTTGATGCCTCTCACAAGTGGAAACTTCACACCAAGGTTTTGACTCTCTAATTTCGGAGCAAGATGCGACTTGCAGCTCCTCACAGGAGGCATCAAAGCCCCTGCCTTGACTGGGCTTACTTCTTTATTAACTCCCCAGCTGTTCTTTCAGAGGTTTCAGAGCAGCCAGCTGACCTTCCAGTGAAGATCAGGAACTTTAGGAGCTGTTTGAACAGTGGTTGAGAAACTCCCAAAGTAACCACAGGGGAAAAAAAGCCCCAAACCCAAAATGCCAGCACCCTGGAGCTAAAGGTGAATTTTGAATCAGGGAAACAAGCAGAAAGCTGGGGTGAGTTGGTTCATGGTGACTGTCCCGGCTCGGGCAGTTCAGCTGTGGGTGGCTCAGGCTGTGGTGCAGAAAAACACGGGAAGTTTTTGGCTGGAGCCAGTGTTTGGTGTGAGGGCAGGCTCAGGCCTCCTGCTGGCCCTGCTGCTGTCTGAGAGGTGCTGCCACAGCGACAGGGCTCTGGTGCTGCTGGCACTTTGCTGGGCTGCTCAGGTGTCACCATCGTGAGCTGGGCAGAGAGAAGAGTCCATGCACCTCCCTGTGCCATCCTCCTGCTCCTCATCCTCCCAGCTCCTGCTCTGCCTCTGCTCCCTTGTGTCTGGGGAAGCCAGCACACAATCCTGCTGGCGGTTTTTTCCAAAGGCACGCATTTATCTGATGGAGAGCTATGTAAATGGAGATGCAAAGTGGATTCAGCCCCGGGCTGCTTGGCCAGTCTCCCGGCTGTGCTCTCTGTGCTGGAAAACTGCGCCGCTCTTGCTCCAAGGGAAACTTTCAAGCGCGTCATTCCTCTCTTTTTTCCCTTATAAAGGTTATTGTGCCTCAGCCCTCAGTTGAATTACGTCCCTGGTTCGCAAAGGAGAGGTTATTTTCCCCTCTCTTTTGCCCTTGCCAGCTGGAGAGCAGTTGGCAGCAGCGCTCGCTAAAAATGCCCCTCGCAAGGCCCTGGGTACGTCGGGGCTGCAGGGACACCCCGAGCTCTCTGCTGGGGCCACTGATGAGCCCAGGCAGCACAGGGACAGCCTCAGAGGGGATGGGGGTAACTAAAAGCTCTTTTCTGCTTCCAGAGGCCTGTGAAACCCACTTGTGTTGTAAACATGGGGGGAGTGTTTATCAGTCACAACAGAAGAAAACGGCCTGACATTTTTCCCTGTGTTGTCTCCAGTGACTTGGGGGTTGGCTAATTACTCTCTCTTTCCTGCAAAACCAAGGAAGGACTATCAATATTTCATATTAGGAGACATGGTCTGGCTAAATATAGCTCCTGTTTTTTTCCTGATGAGTGTGGAGCGAGCTGCTCCCGGTCCCCCTGGCTCTCAGCAGTGCTCTCAGCTTCCACCTCTGCCGTGGGTCTGCTCTGCCCTTGCCACATTCCAGCTGGTGCAGGGCTCAGGCACAGCCTTGGGGAGCCAGTCTGGCCACAGGGAACCTGTGCCTCCGATGGGAGGCTCACAAGATGCTAATGGAGCCCCCGAGGGAAGGCTGTGACTCTGCATCCCTGTTTCCCCTTCAGCCCCGTTTACAGTGAGTGTCCTCAGGATCAGCCCCAGGTTTAAAAAAGAAATGCAAAACTGAGTAAATGCACGTAAATAAGCTGTGGTTGGAGGTTCTGAAGTTTCACTTCCCCGGGCAGTCTCCCTTTGGGCAAGTGAGGAACTTTTAATAGGGATTTTTCAGCCCACAGTGGCCATTTGGGGGCTGGTGAGAAGAGACACCGCAGAGCTTTAGGAGCCCTGTTCAGGAGTCCTGGTTTCCAAGGTGTTCTGTCTATTCACTGACATCTGGACACCTTATGTAGGGATGTACCAAGCCAGTACAGGCTGTCCCTTGTTCTTAGAGCAGGACTTGTTCTATAAAAATCTAATACAGAAGGGGTTCCTGTTCAGGACACAGGGCCCTGACGTTTATTTGCCACTTAAAACCTTCTGGGCTCTTAAGTGGGGCAGGTTCTGTGAATAGAGAGTAATATTTCTTCTCTATCAGTCTTGATCTTTAAGGTTTCCTTTAGCTCTGAGAAAGCACCTTGAATCTTCATTTGCTCAGAGCTGCTTTTGTTGTTAGTTATAATAACAGATTGTTTTCCCTCAGAATTCTGTTTATTTTCTCAGAGTCAGCACCTTGCTTATTTCCTGTAAATACAGCCTGGGCTGTTGTATTCACATGAAAACGCTTGCTTAGTGTTTGGCCAATATCCACCTGGGGGGATTGCACAAGACCTCATGCAAAGAATGGGAAGTTTCAATAACTTCCCCACGGATTTACCCTTCGTTTACCATTTCACTGTTTTGTTTTAGTCATTTAACACTGTCAAAAATACAGCAAAAATCTGCAGCCATAGTCCCAGTAGGCAGTCTCAGAACTACCTAAATAACCTTTTCCATCAGGTCACCTTCTCCATTGGAGAGCAGGTAATGGAATCTGTTGTCTTTGAAGAATTAAAAGAGAAAAACCTTGTCTCTGCTTTGTTTTCCATTTGTAATGGATGGGTTTTTTGACAGGCTGTTAGTGCTTTCTGCCTGGAAACTGCACAGCCCAGTGTTTGACCAAGCTGTCTTTGGTTTTGCAGGTAGCTGTATCCAGCTGGGTGGCAGGTGGATCCAAGGGTCACCATGAAGTTTTCAGGACCCCTGGAGAGCCAGAGGTTGTCTCTCCTTCTGGAGATGGCAATCTCTAGGGAAGCTCAAATGTGGAAAGCACATGTGCCGAAAATTCAGCCCAATCAGGTAATGTCTGTCCTTGCCATCATCCATCCCAGCAGAGGCAGGAGCTGTCCAGGGGGATTGGTGTGGGAGCAACTGGAGGTGTTCAGGAGTTCCCTGACACCTGGGGAATCAGCCTGTGAAGGGAGCAATTCCCTCTTTATTTGCTGGACACACCTGCCCCAGGGCTGCAGAACACACTGCACAGCACAGGGGTTAGATCTCTGCTGGGCTTGTGACAGCACATACACACATATATTGTCCTGATTAAATTAATTTTACAAACGGTGTGGATTATTACTGCCTGTTTCTGCTGGGCACCAACTCTGTCACAGTTCTTAAAAGCAGCTTCATTTTATGGAGTAATTCACTAACGACAGCATTGGTCTGATGCCTGCTCCAGGAAGAACCTCACTGACTCCAGCAGGGCTATTTATGGAGCAGGGTGCAGGCTCGTGTCAAGGGAAGCAGAGCCAGCCACTGGCCTGTTCCAGTGAGGAATGTTCTCACAGGACTGCAGGAAAATTTAGGGTGGGAGAGCCCAGGGGGGCTCTGCAGTCCAGGCCCCCTGTGGTGCTGCAGGGAGGTTGGACCAGGCTGCTCGTGGCCTCACCCAGCCCAAAGTGCATCTGTGCTCCTTTGGGAGGAGGCTCTGTCTCACCTGAGCACTCCCAAACACCTGTGCACTCCACAAAGTTCTGTGTGGAACAAAATGTGCAACGTGGGGACGTTGTCACAGAATTTCTGGCCCTTTGTTGCTGGGTTGGGCAGAAATAACCACACCGAGGGCCCGGATCCAGGCTTGCTGTTGTTGCACCACAGGAAACACTGACACAGGTAAGTCAGCTGCTGTCAGAGCTAATCCCTGTCATGTTTGTTTTCTCTGTCTGCCAAACAAGAAGCTGCTGCTGTTGGGCAGGAGCAAATCCATCTTTAAGGGCCTCAGTGTTTTGTTAATCCACGTTTTGGTTTCCAGAGGAGTGATCTGCTTGTCAGAGGTGTGGAGTGTGTTGTAGCTGTGGCTGTCTTGAGGCACGTACAGCTTAAGACTCTGGCTTCTGGTAAACCAGCCTGTCATTCCCTGCTGGCTGCACTGCTGGGGTGATTATAATGTAGGGAGATAAGATTACAGGATAACAAGATAGGGTAGGGACTCGGGTGTAACCAAACCAGATTCATGGGTGAAGATTTCACAGGGATCAGGCACTTGCCTTTCTGCCTTGGTGGAGTTGGTTCTGGTGGCTCAGAAACCACCACCTGCCTCAGGCAGACTTCCCAGCAATCCCTCCTCTTGTCCTTGCTCCTGGAATTTCCACCCCCAAAACTCTTGTCTTGGTGTAACCTTTTTCTTTCTGTTTTCCTGCATGTCAGCTCAGACACTGACATTATTGGTGCTGTGCTAATGAATGTTTTCTGGCAGTCAGGGATCACTGACTGGCAGTGGAAGCTCTGTGTGTGTGAGTGTGAGATGTAGGAAGGTCAGAGGGAGAGGAGAGCATAAACACAGCTGCCTGCTCGGGGGAAACCCGGGCTTGGGAGGCCAGGAGCAGCTGAGAACACTCGTGCCTGTAATCACACATTTCCCTCTGTTCCTGTGCTTCATCACACTCAGCTTGTCCAACTGTCCTGTGTTCCCCCAGCGTTCACTTGGGCAATGGGAATGATCCAGTTTTCTGTAATGTCTGCGAGAGGGTCCCATTCCCTGACATCCACTGCCTTCCTGTGAAAGCAGCTGCAGCAGCCCAAAACCTCCCTTGCACGACACTGTTGTTTATTTTAGTGGCAATCGGGAAATCTGCATCCTCCTGTGGATCAGATCTGGCTCCCCACAGCGTGTGGAACTTTCCATTCCCTGCTCCAAGGGTGGACTGGCTGCACGGAGCTTAATGAACTCACCTGCTTTGGCAGTGTCTGCACAAACCCAGTGAGCTGATTGGAGACACCAGGGAGGCATTTCTGGGGAGTAAACTTTCTGTTTTCATTCCTTAGGAGACGTTTTTGTTCTGGTGTTCAAAACCAGAAACAGAAAATCCGTTTCTAAATATGTGTCACTTGAGGTCTTAGACAGGAAGAAAGAAACCCATAGTTACAGAAGCAGGAAGACTTTCCATTTTTAGGATGGGGTGCACAATCTGCTGGGGACTTTGTTCCTGGTGATTTAATGTACCTGTTTCTTCTGTTTTGTTTGTACTTCTTTTCTAAAAACTCCTATTCCCTCCTTTAAATGCAGACCAGTGTTCTGGGTATGTGCAGCATACCAAAGCCAGATCTCACAGAAGCTTTCCAGCCTGAAAAAACAGTGGGCTAAGTGTGGAACCTCCTCCTGCTGCTGAAGGGATTTGGATTTTTTTTCCCTTCTGGCTCCCCTTGCCTCCTACCACCCATGGGTTATATGATACAGGTGACATTCAGGAGTTTTCTTGGGATTAATGCTTGAGAAATGGAGCCATAAAGACTGGTCAAAGGTTGATTTTTGCATGTTACAAAGTAACTTTGTGGCTGAGAGGGGCGTGAGTGAAGCTTTTTGGATTTATTTTTATAGAAGGAGAGTGTGACTTGTGTCATGCCTCCTTTCTTTCCTGTTCTGGCTCACTGTGTCTCCCCACTCTTGAGGAATCCAGAGAGCTCCGTTTATTTCCAGTCCTAATAAAGGACACCTGCTCACTGCCCAGGAGCCCACAGACAGCAAGAGACACGGGGGGAGAGCAGAACACCTGTCTGGGACAGGAGGCATGAAGGACATGATTATCAGCTGAGCTGGTTTCTCTCAAATAGGCACCAGTCAAACAGAGTCATGTGTGAGTTCACAGATAATATTTATTTTAGCCTGCACATTCCACAAGTCTCAAGGTATGAGAGAGATGAGCATCCCTAGAGATGATTTGCTCTGTGCTTGCCCCCTGGAGCACCCACTGGGCCCTGGTTCTCCTGCCTGGAGCAGGGGTGACACACAAAGTACCTCTGCTTTCCATCCAAAGGGACTTTGTCACCTTCAGCCCCCAGAGTGTCTCAGTTTTGCTTTTAGTTTCAATTAACTAAGGATCAGTGGCCTCGCTGCTTAATTAATGTTACTGTGCTGCATTTTGTTATCTGTGTTCTGAGGGTGTCACAGGGACAGCTGTGGGAGAGGGCTGGAGCCTGGTATTTGTGTGGGAAGCTCCTTACCCTGCATGGAGGAGAAGGGTTTGGGGGGCAGGGGGACCAGTTCTCAGTCCTGCGTGTCTCCTGAACCAGGCTGTACCAACCTTCCCTGGTGTTTAAACTCACCTGTCTGTCTGTGAGAGGATTCTGCCCCATCCTCCTGCTCCTTTATTTGCAGGTAGGGTCTGGAGTAGACAGCCAGGCAGAAAGAGCTGGGGACTCCCCTCCTTCCCTTGGCTTCCACAGGTAGTTCTTAAGGAGCCAGTTTGATTTTGGAGCCTTGCTTGTGCTGGACATGCACCGAGCTGAGGGTGCTTTACAGCTGCTCCTTGCTCCCACAGGCACTGTGGGGCTGGGGGTGGTTTAATTTCCCATCCCAGCTCTGCTGTGGCTTTGGGTGAAACACTTTTTCCCTTGCCACGGCAAGGACAGGCCCTGCAGGCACTGCATGTGCAGCTGCTGCTCCGGGTTCCAGCCCTGCTGGGAATGCTCACCCCAGGTCTGAAACGGTGCCCACAAAGGGCAGCAGGATCCCAGGCCAGGTCTCAGGGGGGCTGGGGAGGAGAGGCAGCACAAAGAGTCTTCCCCTTCCCAGCCGTGCTGGTTTTGGGAGAAGACCTCACCTTTTTCCTTGGCAGGCACAGGGAAACAGTGCCCAGCCAGCACAGACACCACTGGGAGCTGTGGAAGCTGCTGCCTGTTTTGGTGGGGTCGAGCAGGAACAGGATTTGCCAGGGATAGAAGGGCTGGGGGGGTGGTGTTGAGATCCCCCCCAGAGCCCTCCCTCCCCAGCAGGAGCACCAAATGTGCCATTGCCATCCCCTCCTCGAGCATTCCCCTTCCTTCCCCTTGGGTACAGCCCAGGTCCCTTCCCAGCCTCGGGAACGCCTTGAGCAGAGCACTCAATAACCTCTCCCGGTGTGTGGTGTGTTCATTGTGCTCCTGGGCCCTCCTGCCCCCAGGGGGACTCGCATTTCACCCTGGAACTGCATTGATTTTAGAAAGAACCAGTGTTTTATTGAAGAGCCAGGCCAGGCTGTAGCTGAGCAGAAGCCACTGCTGTAACACCAGGACTCAGGGCAGAACACGGGCACTGTTAGTGCCTGTGGAAGGTACATGTGGGTGTGTCAGTGGTAGACATAGCCTGGAGTGTTTATTTTCTATCAGTATTGGGTTGGTTTTATTCTAAATTCCCACTGCTTTGCCCTCATGGTGATACTGGGGGCAGTTACAGCCCAGCATTTCGTGCTTCTGGACACGTCCGTGCTGAACATCCCCAGCAATCCCCCTTGGAGTGAGACCAGGCAGTTCCTTGGTTGATGTGCAAGGCTCTAGAAAAGCTGGAGGTATTTCTGACCTGGATCACGGGGAAGGATTTTGTGTCAGTGACTGAGCTGTGCACGTGTTTGAAATTTAGCTGTTGTCCAAACAGATCGATGGGGGAGACACGGGCCAGACACCTACACCAAACACCAAACCCCAACTGCAGGCAAAGCTGCAGCTGCTGCCTCCCCATTCCCAACCAACTGAGCCACTGAGAGCCTTGTGTCACCTGTTTGTAATTTTCTTTATTTAACAGGTACTGAGCTAAAAAAATCCCCATAATTTGGAGAAAAAAAATAACCTTTCCCCACAAAACCCCAACTGAGTACCTCCTCTCTGCTGTTCACAAGGGGGGTTTTGTTCCAGCTGGGAATTTCAGTGCATCCACATGGTTCTGAGGAGGTTAAAAAATAACTAAATAAATAATAAATTTCTGGGAACTACTCTGGAGCTGATCCTGCCAGTGCTTGACAAACTACAAGTCACCCGTCCTCTTTTCCCCACTGTACAGTGAGACTGGAGTGAGGTTTGGGATTCTCTAAGGAAAGGTGTCTTTTCCAAGGCCGGTTTTTGGGCTGGGGTAAGTGAGTGCAGGGACAAAGTGGTGACTGAGGCTGGCTCCCTTTCCACAGGAGGCCTTGTTTCCATGCCGTGTCTCCTGTAGAGGTAAAGCCTTTGGGACTTTGTCAGGCCATGTGTAAGAACAGTGTGTCTTTCTCTCCCC